AATTAAGCGGTATTGTTTCTTGAATGTTTTTATACATTTTCAAAAAACAATCAAAAAAGTTTTTGTTTAATTTTTGTTATTCTTAGGAAATAACTAATGCAGAATTGTAAAAAAAGTCGAAATTCATTTTGATGAAGATTAGGCAATGTTCAGAAATTAATTTCTTTTGTAAAACTTTGATCAATCGGTGCGAGAAAATAATTTGATGAATCGATTTAAAAATTAACAGGGCTAGGGAGGTACTTTTTGCTTTTTCTATTAAATTAATGTTGAAGGTAAATTTTTTTTTCAAAAAATTGTAAAAATAACTTCTAGGAAATGCATTCCAGTTTTTGAAATTACCCTTACATTTTCTGTGAGGTCATTGGTTGTTGAGATATCGATAACCAAAGACAAACAGATTCTTTTTCATTAAAAGTTAAATATCTCAACGATAAATTAACGTAAAGAGAAGTAAAAAAAGCAAATTGCAGATGAATGAACAAGCTATTTGGCCCCTGTATTGATTTAACTAATAAAAATTTTCCCAAGTCCGTGGACCAAAAAAAAATTTACATTTTTTTTCTCGCGTTATTTCTTACGATTGCGTTATAACCGTAGCTTAGAATTTTTTTGTCAAAAGATCGCAAGACTAGAAACTTGAATCTTCAAAATAAACTTTTTGATCTAAATACGACCATTTATCATTGAGATACAGTCTTTCAAAAATCATCAAAAAATTCAAGAATTTTTTTTGTTCCCTTAATTTTTTAGAATAGTATATAAAAAGTTTATAATTTGTCGTTTCAAAGTATTTGATATAATAAAAAAATTTCGTCAAGGAGTTTTCCACTGAAAAGCTTTGATAATTAAATTAATTTGAAAAATTAAAAAACAAAATAGGAATAACGTATAAACGATGAATTTGATCCAAAATAGTACACAAAATATTTCTTTTAAAAATTTATGAAACAAGTTTTGAAAAAACTAAAAAAAGCAGATTTTGGGGAACGATTTCAAAAAGTCGCACAAAAAATTGAAGTTCAATCCCTGTCCCGGCACAATTTTTTTCTTCACATCTTTCACAATCGTAAAATAAACAACACAATAATAATAACAATAAGAGGCGTAATATTGATAAAAATAACTGTAATAATAAAAATGAGAAATTTCGCCTTGAAATTCCAATTCTAGTATGTGTCGTAATATAGTGAGCAGTTTTGGCATGCAAATCGAATTAGAGTCGTTGTGACCGATTATTATAAATATTCATGGGGGCTCCTGTCTTGACGCTTCATAACTTAAGCCGGGATTATGTTGACTTACTGTCACGGCTTTGCAATGGTTTTTAATGTATTCATTTAGGCAAAGATGATTAATTGGTGTGTAAGTGAAGGAGTTGAGAAATTGAAAATTTAGCTTAGAAGTAAATTCGAAAATGGATGTGCTTTTCCTGAGAACAAGTTGTGAGGCATTTCCCCTCGAATTCGCATTTCTGTCGAAGAGAGTGTTTGTGGATCGTTTATTTTGGTGGATTTGTCAACAAGAGAGGCTCTTTTATTTTGATTACGGATCATTTATCAACTCGACATTTGAAAAATGAAAAGAGATTTCCACTGGTAAATACCACGACTAAATTTTACTAATCGCTTTTAATTAGTTCTTGATTGATATTTTCGTATCTGCTCGTTATTGCGCTCTTGCTTTACAACTTCCTGTTAGGAGCTCGTTATTTAAGTAATTTGGTTTGAATTATTGCCACTTGAATTATTATTAGACACACAATTACAATTTACAAGAAAATTTTAAATTGTAATTTTTGTACGAACGGAGATAATGAACTGGAAAGACGCTCAATTTGCAAATGCTTCTCCGAAAAACAAGCATTTTTTAATGAATCTTTGCAAAACAATTTCATTTACTTCTCGACTGAAAATCGATCGATTTGCAAAGAAGGCAAGCTTCATTTTTTCGAATAATAAATTGAATAATAAAGTGAGAGCGGATTTGTGTTTATTTTACGTCACAAAATCAAAAAAACAAATCTTTAAAGTTTAAAAAAAAAAAAAAAGTTTTGTTACTCAAAAAGCAAATTTTTGCCTTTAAAACTATCATTTGCAGCGACTAATTTATTTTACATAAGAAACTGCCAATTTTTATTTAATACAAAAGTCACTTTTTTACAATGACAAAAATTTAGATTGAATTTTCACAATGTTTTTGAAATTTGTTGAATCCTTGCAATATTTTCTCAATATTTTCAAAATTATCAACCACAGCTTTTTTACAGAATTATTTTTTTTTATTATTTTATGTAAGAAAATACTTCTCATTTTAGTGATTCCATTATTGAAAAAAAGCAAAGTTTCAGTTCCATCTCTCCGCAAGCAAATAAATTATTTTGATAATAATTTCAAAAATACTCGTTGTAGCTAGTCGATTCTTGCAGATTTGGAATCGTTAGATCATTTTACTTAAAAAAATCATATTTTGATTAAAATAAACAGTTGAAAGTGTCGCTAATCATTAAAAGTCGACTTTCAGTTTTCAGTTTTGTCACTCAAAAACCGGATTTTTGCCCATATCTTTAAAACTTTCATTTACAGCGATTATTTTTTTACAGAATTGGATTTTTTTACTTATTTTACATAAAAAATACGAGTTTGAATGTATTACAAAAGGCTTTTTTTGACAAAATGACAAAAATTTAGTTTAAATTTTTACACTGTTTTTGAAATTAGTTGAAATATCCTTGCAAATTTGTCACAGCTTCTTTTTACAAGATTAGATACCATTTATTATTTTACGTTAAAAAGTACAGACATTGTATTTCAGTAACTGCATTTTTATGTTAATAAAAAAAAACGAAGTTTCAGTTTCAGCTCTCCGAAAGCAAGTTCTTTTGATAATAATTTGTAGCTAATTGCAGATCTGAAATCGTTAACTCATTTTACTTCAAAAAATGCATATTTTGATTCAAATAAACAGTTGTGGGTGTCGCTAATAATTAAAAAGTCGACTTTCAGTTTTCAGTTTGGCACTCAAAAACCGGATTTTTGTCCATATTTTTTTAAACTATCATTCGCAGGGATAAATTTTTACAGAATTAGATTTTTACACTCATTTTACATAAGAGAATGTCAATTTTAATTTATTACAAAAGTCACTTTTTAACAAAATGACAAAAATTTAAAGTGAGTTTTCATGATGTTTTTGAAATTGGTTGAATCCTTGCAATATTTTCCCAATATTTTCAAAACTATCCACAGCTTTTTTATAGGATTAGTTTCCTTTTATTACCTTATGTAAGAGAATACTTTGCATTTCAGTGATTCCATTTTTAACAAAAAAAAACGAAGTTTCAGCTCGTTTCAGTTCCAGCTCTCCGAAAGCAAATAGATTATTTTGATAATAATTTCAAAAATACTCGTTGCTAATTGATTCTTGCTGATTTGGAATCGTTAGATCATTTTTCTTCAAAAAATTCATATTTTGATTCTAATAAATAGTTGAGAG